TCTTGTAGATCAGGCGGGCCTTGAACTCACAAAGACCCCCCTGCCTCTGCCTCCTGAGTGCGGGGATTAAAGGCGTGCGCCACCACCGCCTGGCTTGAGGTTTCTTTTTTAGTCTGTGAGGGTGGGCATTAACTCTTAACTTGTTACAGCACCAGGACTTAACACTGCAATTGGCCCAGGAGAGGCGTTAAACCAATATTCATGGACTAGAAGGAAAAGGAAAGGAGTGAGCCAGTAAGAACAACTAAGCCCCCGTCAGATACTATCTTCAGGGTCACATGACGCTGGCCATCCTTCAGCTACAGCGTGGATAGAGGGCTTTCTGTGGCAGGCCTGGGCCCTAACCACCTCTCACTATTTCTGTCCATAGTTAAGTGTGCTCGGATTCCAGGTGTGCACCGACTCATTTGTAAGTTGACCTTTCGTCATGTGATGGCAGCACTACTCAGGCAGACTTGCTCACTGCTTCAGGAGGAGGTGTCCAGCTGTTTGACACTGTGACATGATGCTGTCATCAATAAATACGTTGGATTATGTTCAAACTATCCTGGGGCACATGTAAGGGCAGGCCTACTAGACCATCAGAAGCCTTTTTATCTCCATTGTCTAAACTGGTCCCTGGAAAGGTCTGTGTGGTCCTTATCCCAAGTCAGCATGGATCTACTCCGTGTTCACACTGTGGCCTTACATAAGACACTGGGAGCCAGGTGAAGGGCTCTCGTTTTCTGTTCCCAGAAAGGTTCCTAACCCATTTTGCTTATGAGTTTCAGGGAGTTACCTGAAAGTGCCCCTGTACTGTTCCTCCACCCCTACCCCTACCCCCACCCCAGGTGGTTGAACATCTGGATGCCCTTGATGCAGAGTCAGCACAGTGGGAAAGTTAAGAAGGCAACTGCATCTGGGGTTTAGCTTTCTAAAAATCTTGAATACATCTTATCTACCCTTCCCTGTTCTATGATAAGCCTAGACTCAAAAGCAACGCCTGTGTCACTGGAGTCAAGAGGCTCCGAGGTAGAGAAGAGTGTGTAGGAAGAGCTCAGGGTGTGCTGCCCGTTGTTGATACTGAAGTCCTGAGGGCAAGTAAAGAAGTTCCTGAAGTGAACATGATCCTCCTCGAGGTGCCAAGTGAAGCAAGCCTAACTTCCTTCCTTCTCTAGGCTTTTGAGTAACTTTGAGTAACTATAGGGCACCAAAACTACTGAAGGCCCCTCAAGCTTCTTCAACACCACACGCCAGGGCCTTGCTCTAAGGGCCTGGCTCCTTCGGTGTTTTTCTATCCCCTGGCCAGTGGCCAAGGCCTCCAGACACAGTTTATTGGATGATCCCTGCATTGTTGAACTTTATCAAGAGTCCTCAGGGATCTGGAAGGCCTGGCTGCAGGTTCAGAAGAGCCTCAGAGGTGTATAGAGCAACGGCAGCTAAATCTGAGGTGGTAGCCTCCTCAGTCCCACTGTGTAGTCCTAAACTTCTGTTCACAGGGTGGGGCTGCCTGGTGCCTCAAGAGCACAGCTCTTCACACAGACTACATCGGGAAGGATTCCCTTAGACCCCAGGTCCACAGTGGGCAAGAGAAAGATGGGCCATGAATGGGAAGATGGCAGAGGGAAGGGAGAATTGGATGAGCCTGGGTCACATAAGCAGATGGTGCCTTCACTGTCTGGTCATGTGGCATTAGCAGCTTCCTCCACTCCTAGCTTGGTAATCAGGAAGACATGGGGTCCTCTAAAGCTTCTAATCTGGAGTTAGTTCCCCATATCACCTAGGTGCCCACTCAGCTATATGACCTCATGAGATGATTCAGTTTTCCTCTTCTATAAAGAAAATAGTAAAGTAAAATACATACCGTGTGTGTGTGTGTGTGTGTGTGTGTGTGTGTGTGTGTGTGTGTGTGTGATGTGTACTAGTTCATGCTCCTGTGAATGTGTGTGTAGATCAGAGGTTAACACTGCTGTTTCCTCTATTGCTGTCTTTTTTTTAAAACAAGGCTTCTCAGTGAACCTGGAGCTCAACCATCCAGCTAGGCTGGCTTACTAGCAAGCCACCAGGATCCTCCTGTATCCTCCTCAGTGCTGGAATTTTAGCATGCACTACCACACCAAGGTTTCTTGTTGCTATTTTTGAGGGTGCTGGGGATATGAAGGCAGGTCTTCATGCTTGCATGGAAAACACTTTATCTACTAAGGCAGCTTCCCTAGCCTTGTATTTTTGAGACAAAGAGCCTTCCTTACTCTACAGCCCAGATTGGCCTAGAAATGATTACATAGCCCATACTAGCTTTGAACTCATAGCATCTCTTCTATCTCTAGCCAAATGTTTCGATTACACAATAAACCACCATGCCACATTTCCTTGGGTGATTTATATGAGAATTTAGAAATTTAGACTCTTCATACAGCCAATAACTGAATTTCCTGTTTATGCTGGATGGTTTTGAGCACAAATGATTCAGCAATGAAATCCCCAACATCCCCACACACATTAATTCCTATTGCAAACATGTAATAGGTCAAATATATGGCCTGTGGAACACGGAAGATGGCTTCAGCGATATAATAAAGCAGAGGAAAGTGGCTGGAGCTTTCCATGGGAAAGCTGACAAGGAAGGGGAAAACCTGAAGGAAGATTAAGTGAGGAGACACAAGGGACTGAAAGCATTGGGACAATGCTGGCATGAGACAGATATGAGATGTGTCATTACTATAGCAACAGCTGTCAAATTATTCAGCTATTTTCTAGCTGCTCAAGAAAATAGCTTATAGCTGGGCGGGGGTGGCACTCACCTTTAATCCCAGCACTCGGGAGGTAGAGGCAGGAGATCTCTTTGACCTCGAGACCAGCCTGATCTATAGATCAAGTTCCAGGACAGCCTCCAAAGCCACAGAAAGAAACCCTGTCTCGAAAAACCAAAAAAAAAAAAAAAAAAAAAAAAAAAAAAAAAAAAAGAAAGAAAGAAAGAAAGGAAGAAAGAAAAAATAAGAAATAGCTTATAAAAGAGCCAGCAGCTAGAAGATAACAAGAATGGAGATACCATAATAGAGGAGACATTTTAGGTTTACAGAGAAATCAGGCACTAGGGAAATGTCTGGAGATCTACAAAGATGACACCAGCTAAAAATCTAAGCAACAGAGGAGAGGCTACCTTAAATGCCCTCCCCTGATAATGAGATTGATGACTGACTTAAATGCCACCGCTGGTGGAAGTAAAAGCAGACACCCACAACTAATTACTGAACTGAATTGGAATCCAGATGCAGAGAAGGATGAGTGAAGAGCAAATGGGTCCAGACCAGGCTGGTGAAACCCATAGAAACCACTGACATGAACAATGGGGAGCTCTTTGCTCCCCAGACTGATAGCTGGGATACCAGCATGGGACTGATCCAGACCCCAGGAATATGGGTTTCAGTGAGGAAACCTTGGAAATCTACAGGACCTCCTGTTCAGTACTTATCCCTAGCATAGGTGTGGACTTTGGGAGCCCA